ACATGGGATGGTAAATGACCATCGATAGTAACTCTTGATTGTGAACTACTTTTGCCTGACTACAGGCTGGCGTTCCACATGGGAAGTGGTTTGAATTGCATCAGCAATTTCCTGAGCCACCTGTTCTCAATGGTTTAATGTTAGTAAACATTAAGCATACAAATCAAGATAATTTAAAGAAGTTGTCTTTTTTGGAAAGTCATCTGAGATGCGGAATATCATCCATCACACACAAAGGAAAGAGACATGCAATTGCAGTTCATTCAAGCTAGGTGATCACAGTATTTCCAGTTGTGCCATTAAAAAGTTAGGTCACAAATTCACTCCTGTGCAGACAGCCAGTATAAAGACATCATGCTGAAATCTCACGTTGGTTTAGTCAGCTCTCCCCCCAGCCCGAGTCCCGTTTGAGCGAGACAATAAGTGGGGACTGAAAAGACACAAGTAGGCATGCAGCTTAGATGCATCAAACATAAATGATCCACTTCAGTGCATAGCAGGAATTTCACTTGCTGTAAACTGGGCCGTTTCATGATGTTTTCCACTTTGGTTTCTAAAACAGCCTCTTGCAAGTTATATCCATGCAAATATAAGTAGTTCTCACCTGGAGGTGAGGGCTCAATCCCTTTCAAAATTGGACCTATTTGTTCTAGATTCTAAAATACAAGTTTAGGAGGCAACTATTGAAATATTGGGATTTGATTTATCAAACGGGCTTAATAATACATAGCTTCCTTCAGTCTTTTTTTTTTTTTTTTTGAGTAAATTCTTTAATTTGGATAAGGCACTATGTGAGACCCAGAGGAAAGATGTTATTGAAGCAGAACGTATAACCGCTATGGATTGAATTTTTCTTAAATTCTTTGTACAGCTTTTATTATTTTTGTTGAGGGGCTGGTTGGTTGGTTGGTTTACATTGTAAACAGCAAAATATCACTCCCAGCATGAGAAAATTTGATTTTTCATTCTTCCCATCCTTGCAATAGCTCTTCTGCCTTGTGGCTAAGTTTGGTTCCAGGGTCGGCTGTGATCTACCTTCAGGCCTGAGAAGCCAATGATTTTTTTCCTCATTTCCACCTTCATTATCACAGTCCCATGGGATGGGCTGAACCCTCAGCAGTGTGACGGGGGTGAAGATCACACGTGCATACTTTGTCACATACTTTGGCTTGAAACAAAGGCATCATTGTACTTTCATTCTGCTGCAGTGCTGGTTTCATGCACAGCTCGTAATGTTGAAAGCCTGATCCAAAGCCTGCAAAGTCAATAGAAATCTTTCAGTGGGTTTTGACTAGACAGGAGGAAAGTACTTCCACATCACTGTTAGAAACTCACCTCCATCTCAGTTGCTTGAGGATGCTTCACATGGCACTCATTAACACTTTGAGCAGGATTTCCGTGATCCTGATATTATTCCACCAAAGTCAGTGGTAGTTTTCTTATCTGTTTTTGCAAGAGCAAAATCAAGACAAATATTAGTTGGAGTTTGTTTTGGTTTTTTTTAAATCCACTCATTGCTGACCATCTTCAGCAAGGGTGTAGTGGATAATGCGTTGGAGAGAATGACTTTACCTCTCCTTTCTAGACACAGTGGGCCGTATTATCAGCTGATGGTGCCTTATGTAGTGATCTGCTTCAGCAGATCTAAGACTGAATGCTGAAGTACTCTTGGTCCAGCATTTTTCACGATCGTTAAGTTCTCTTTTTAAAATACAAGCACTGAAACCTGGTTTAAAATCACAGGAGAGTCTCTAAATGGAGGTAGATCAGCCTTTCTAGAAGAAAAATAACGCAGCATAGGTGTCTCTGAAAGAGAAGTTGAAACAGCATTACAGCCAAAAAGAAGGCAAAGCAAGCACCCAGGTTCATAACTAAGCAACATGAAATTCTTCTTCCTGTGCCCTCTGTTTGAGGCCTATATTCTCAATAGTGGTCTTTCAGAAAACTATGAGATGTCTACCCTAGTTCACTTTCTGGCAGAATGGATTAGTTTTGTCTACCCATAGTCTATCATGTTGGTCTACCCAACTTGAGATTTGAAAAATATGTTTCGTGTCAGATAACAGCCCTGAAATCTGAAAGTCTGCAGTAAAACATTGAGGACTAGTTTTCAAATATGTTGTCCAGTACTGTAGGTGAAATTGTCCATAACTAAGTGTGTACAGAATTGTGAGTACCATTAATTACACTTACAATTAGCCCAATTTAGTTGTGATTACACATATAATCTTAAGGATAGATTGAAACCTGGCTGAAAATTAGAGCCACCATCTCACTCTCCAGATCAGATTATTGTCAAACAGTTGACCGTTGAACTAAATTAACCATTATTCATACAGATATTTCTGGATAACTTTTGGAGAATATCAAGTGGTAAAGAATATTAGAAAGTGTATGGTATTGCGTATAAATGTTACTTATGCTTTTTATATGAATCATCAATGAAATGTTGAGAATGAAAGAATTAAAAATAAAAAGGTACTCGTCTTTTCCTAAGCACTGGTAAAAAATGTGGACACTCCAGCTGTTTTACATGTGTCTGTCTTGAAAGACTAGAGAAAGCTGGGTGTGCTCCACTTTAGTGGAAATCAATCTAACCCATTGTTTTTCAATCTCTTCCTTCCCTCCACCCATGTCCTGTCTCTCCCTCCCTCTTGCCAGGGAGTTTTCCAAAGAAAGAGAGAAGGCTAAAGCTCGGGGCGATTTCCAGAAGTTACGGGAAAAACAACAGCTAGAGGAGGACTTGAAGGGATACTTAGACTGGATAACTCAAGCAGAAGATATTGACCCAGAAAATGAAGATGAAGGCATGGATGAAGAGAAGCCTCGAAACAGTAAGCAATTTTCTTCTGTCTCTCTCTCTCTGTGCTTTTAGCAAGGGAGCCTGTGCCCACCTGCTGTAGTGCTGAGGTGGCTTATAAGGAAGAACAAGTTCTTCCTGAGACTCTCACTGTGCTTATACATGACTCTAATTCCTTTAGGAAACTGTGGGAGGGAGAAATACACGTACAATAATTGATATTGTTCTGCAGATCTTCAGTTTCTTGTCTGCGATACCGACGTAAGATCTTGATATTAAACAGAAAAAAGATCAATACTGACTGTTCGAAGTCCACTGCTGGGATAAGTTTTTAAATATACATCTGCCTCCTGTTAATTTTTTTAATTGCAGTTCAGTGTTGCAGGCTGTTGACACATGGTTAATTACTTTGAAAGCAAAGGTTTCCAGGAAAAGCAGGGATACAGTATGGGAGAAGGGCCAAATCAGCCCTGTTGTGCATTAAGTGGGCCATCTGTAACTCCATTGAAATCAATGGAATTGTGTTTAACTTTGCCAGGCTGGAATTAAGCTCTCAGACATTTCTTGTGAGGGAATTATCTCTTGCTCTTCTGTTCTGGAGTTGAGAAGATGTTTATGCAAAGTGAGAATTCACCAACTACCTCTTCTTATTAGAAATCCTGAAGAAGGAAGGGCTGGAAGAAAGCAGCAATTCCCTACATTTCATTACCTTCATTGAATCTTCTCCGTCCACCTCCTCTTTTGCCAATAAAGGCTATCTAACACTTCATAAACACCTAGCAGTTGTCATTGCAGGTTGTGCACTTGGGAAATGTCAGAGTTGGAACATTTAGACAGTTACACAGTTAATGGACACTGGCTCTACTCTTAGCTTTCGTTACTGTAATGCACATTTTCCTACTCTGATTTTGGAAGAGAAGACATGAAACATTTTCCTAGAGATCACCCTTCCCACCAAACAAGCAAAATCCATGGGATGATCCAGTCAGAAACATATATTCTAGTAATAGGAAGATTGGACATAGGATAGTTGTGCCTACGGAGTAGAGTAAGATTTGTATCAGATGCTCGTGATCTTTTGGGGAGTAAGAACTACTCCCTGTTACTGCTAGAACATTTAAAGTTTTTTAGAAAAAAAAGTGGGGTCATTAATATCGGGTCATAACCGTGATACTTAGATATCTGGACTTGAAGGAGTCACCAGGGTGACTTGCTCAGACCCTTGCTCAGGTTGTTTTTATTTTCATGTTGGTGCTTCATAGGGCATATAGCTTATTCACAATTTAACTTCAGTAATCACGTAGAAATTAATTTATTATCAATGGCAAAAATTTGCTGCTCAGTAGCGTATAATGCATGCAAGGTGATGTCTAGTGATCCAAATTAATTTCCTTGTAGACAAAATTCCCTATTTTTTTCTTTTAACAAAAAAACACTACCCCAGTGGGGTCTGGTTGGTATACTCATATGATGTCCAAATGGGGAGGCCAAGGACTGGGTTGCACACTACTCCACTGAAGTCACCAGGAGGCTTTCCCTTGACTTCAGTGGGAATTAGGTCATGTTTATTGCGTTTCCTCTTAGAGACATGCTTGCTGAAGTGTAGCCATACTGGTAAGGATGAGAACTTGCCTTGGTTACTAGCAGATTTTAAGTTTTTCCTTTTTAATTAACACTAACACAATGCTGCGTTGATAAGAGAGTTGTGGAATGTATCAGATGTGGATTCGCTGCATGTGCTATGGAGTGGGGTCAATCCACAGTTGAGCTAAGAAGCTCCTTTTATGGGTGATGATGTTAAGAAATGAAAGATAACGTCTTTTCAGCTTGCTTTCAGTTCTTGCTGTTCAGTTTAATCAGGTGAGTTCTGTAAGACATGGTTTATGAAGTTAGTCATCTTACATCTGGCAAGTTCTCTAGAGTTTCTCACCGTAGGCTGTTAATGACAGAATTACGTACTAATCGCAAACTAATTCATTACCCGTTTCTTTTCCAAACTAACAATGTCTTCGATGTCATTGGATCCAAGTGGCAGGTCTAAGGGCAGTGGTTGCTGACTACTCCCCAGAATACAGCATCTTGCTCTGGGACGCTGTGGCTTTGGGTCCCTTGGTCAGTTTTTGTTATGTGCCAGACCAGGCTTGGGAACAGGTGGCTGCAGTGCTTAGTGCTGTACAGTAGAACTACCCTTCTGTTGAGAGACATCGTTTGGGGCGTGCAGGAAGGCTGTGGATGGATTTTGGCCATGTAGTGGGGACAATGGTCATGCTAACAAAAGTCTCTGCACAAGAGAATTGCAGGCCACTCCATGGAGTTTATTCCTGTTCTTCTGACATATGTGCCCCATCTAGAACAGGCTGTCGACAGCAGTATTATTCTTAGCACCTGTGGCCTGTACCTATGAATGCTAAATTAATCCTTCCTCTAATTTTGGTGTACTGCCCAGTGCTGTTCCTTGGCCTTCTTCCTGCCACAGGCCTTTGTGGCTGATTGAATAAAGGGTCTCTGTGCTGCTGTCCTCTGGTGAGGAAGCAAAGAGCCTCTGGATACAGACAGTAAAGAGCAACACTCCCCCACCCCATCCTGAAGCCAATGAAAATACCTGGATGCGTGCCCCCACCCAGCAGAGTTGTGGAGCTGACGTTCTAGCCTTTTGGATTTCATAAATTGCCTTTTTTTTTTTTTTCAGTAGGCTGTTGTATTTACTTTTGCACGTTGCATGTTTACGCTCTGTTGTGTTTCTTGGTACTTCTGAATTTCAATCTTTATTCACATGACAAGTGAGGAGGTGTTTTCAAAGCCAAATAGCTTGCAGACATCCTCTCCTAAGCTGTCATACTCACTTCATTGACATGCTTATCTGTCATGTAGGTCACATGGGAAGAAACTCCCAGTATGCTTTACCTACCTATGTGATTCCACATCTTGCTTATCCTATTGCCTATGACCATACCTTCTGCAGAACCATCTCAACCTGCTCAGGAGCTGGAGATTAGTTTACTAAGCAGCTGTGACAAGGGTTGTCTGCTCTCCTGAAGCTGAGTCACATTGCAGCTGTGCTGCTCTTGGGGCTTGGTAGATACCTGCTAGAAAATGGGTTGAATGAACACCAGGTAACAAAATCAAACAGAGAAGTAGAGGCCCTTTCCTTAATAGCTTCAGCTGATGATAATGCCACAGAAAAGGTGCCATGAGTAAGTGACAGGATGTTTTGTTTGGGGGTTTTTTTGTGTGTTATCTACTGTGTTGAATGTTTTGGCATTCATGCCAGCAGTCAATCACTGGTAAGGTTAAACTAAGGGAGAAAGATGGTATTAATTTTCTTCCAAAAACCATCTACAAAATAAGCTCCAACTGTAAGGGACAGATGGCACAGCAGTTCAGTAAATGCCCTCAGGAATCCCTTTGGCTTGATTGCCCCCAAGACATTTGAATCCCACCTACGAGCCGTGCTGATCTTGTGTTACTGCTGGTCCAATGTCTGCCTGGTCTTCTAGTGTTCAGCTCTTGCTGAAAGAGCTCAGCTGCCTCATACACAGTTTCAGTGTGCTTCTCTCTCAAGTGCTCTTCAAAGCTCACTGCCTTCTGTCTCTAGTACAACATCCTGAACTCCACAGAGAGTGTTACTGCCTCTTTCCTGCACACTTTGTTCGGTGATGGCTTAATTAATAATGTTAACTTTTAAAGGTATCAGCCCTGAGCCTTTTAGATAACAATTCACTGAAGTGCTCAGGGCAGTTCAGACCTCCCAAAGCTCAGCAAACTTCAGGGGTTGCCTTTGCATTGGTTATATTGCACTGATGCTCAGGAGCTGTGGGCTCATGCCTGAACTCTGACAGTGACTCACACCAGTACTTTAGAGAAGTCACATCAGTTTTTGTTTCCTCAGTTTCTCCTTTGAGGTTGCTTGGACATTTGGGGATTTTTTTAATGACGGATATCAGACAAGTTGAGAAGTTGAATTAAAATATACTTATTAAACTAGAGTCTCAGCTAATGTAAACTCTGAGGCTCAGCAGTTTTCACCATCTGGGCTCTGACCCAGGTAGTCTACCTAAACTTGAATCATCCCAAACACAGAGAACGTATGTTTTCAGTCTCTTCTCTGTCCTTGGCTGCAGAGCAGGTTTTGCTGTCATCTTACTCTGTAGAGATGGCTGTCGGCATGGGAACTGCCTCCTGTAGAACAGAGAGCACAAGGTGGAAGGGAAGAGAGATTCACTTGCATCCCCATTTGGATTGTCTGCCTGTGCCAGTCCTTGGGGCATCGTCAGTCATATTTTGTATATGCCACTGCTCTCCTGAAGCTGTCAAACCTTGCCTTAAGTCTCACTGGGTGTTTACAGACCTTTTGAAATGGTCAACAAGTCCAAGGGCTGTAACAGCGAGGACTTTAGTGGAGGAAAGGGTAAGAAAAGAAGATAAATGCAGTCAGAGTCAGACAATCTGTGCAGCCTTTAGCTGATGCTCTCCCTAGCAGAGGTCTTGGAGTTCTTCTGAGGCAGCTTGTTACCAGTTGACTCTCACACGCTTCGAGAGGCATTCACGGAGCACGCTGAATTCATTCTCTGTGTTTTGGGAAGGGCGTGTTGAAGGCAGTTTTCCCTTGTTGTTTGCAAACATGATTTTGCCATTACAGCAGATGTGAGATGGGAGATGTGAAAAGGCTTCTGGGGTCTGTTTGTGTTGATGGTTTTCTTCTGCGCTCTTTCTCTGGTGGGCCTTCCACACGGGAAGAAAACATTAATTTGACAGAGGAGAGAAACACATGTCATGGCAAAAAACAGCTACTGAATTCCAAAATTACATGATAGCAAAGAGAACCATCCCTCCTGTTGCCACAGTAACTGGGAATTTGCCCTTTTTTTTTTCTTTTTCTCTTCCTGAGTGTGGTCTGGAGTGCATCTGTGTTGCTGTGGGCAGGAGCAGGAAACCTCAGTCCAACCCCAGTTCTCCTCCTATTGAAATTAATTGGCAAAACTCCCACTGACTGCACTGAGGTCAGGAAAAAGCTGTGAATGGGCAGGGAGTAGT